TGCCCTTGTCCGTAATCAGGAGAAAGGTGGTTTTAGCAGAATAAGTCAGGAAGAAGTCAATAAAAAATACACAGTGTCTCCATATACACACTCATACCAAGTCCTTTTTATCTCATAGAGTTTTAAGAGTATATTCAGTGCAAGTGGAAGAGGAGGAGGTTTGGGACCACTGGTTTTGTTCAGTACCATCACTGTTTGTTTGGTTCTTTTTAGCATGATGTCTAAGACTAAATCTGTGATGTTCATCAGGATATTCTACATCTATTTGCGCATTGATTCTTCAGTGGCACTGGGCAGAGGAGATGTAGCCGCATGCTGTTCATATACAGATTTGGTTAACAAAACCTAATGTTCCTCTTATGATTTTAATTTTTTTATTTATTTCACTTGTTTTCATCTGAATTTTCATACAGTTTAGTATCCTACAGAGGTGGGATCAAAGCTGGGGAATACAAAATTAATCAATGCATAAGGTATTCATGTAAAAGTTTGAAGTACTTAGCAAAGCCAGGTGACTAAAGTAATGCACTTGGATTGCCATGTAATCAAATGACATATGTGTAGGGCCCTACCAAATTCATGGTCCATTTTGGTCAATTTCACGGTCAGAGGATTTTAATAATTGTTTTTCATGGCCGCAAATTTGGTAGGACCCTACATAAGTGTGTTCAGATTGCTTATGCTGGCTAAATTTTACCATAACCTGAAAACAATGTGCCACTCATGTTTGTTGTCTGTTATAGAGCTAGGTGCCATCATTGCAGCTTGAGCTACTGTGAAGAAAACAAAACTTGTGTCAAATGTGTCCAGATGATACTTTGGCACAATGGTAGTTGTGCACATTTTTCTTTTGTTAAGATGACAAACTGCAATTAGCATATATTACACCCAGCCCAAACCTTTGAAATATATGAAAAAATGAAAGAAATAATATGTATTGTTTATTCTTTTAACTTTTGTGTTCAGGAGTTATGGCTTTGATGGTAGAATGGATGAAATGCAATTTCTGCTCAATATATCTGTCAGAATTCTCAGTTTATTCCTTCAGTATATTAAGATGGTAACCTACTTGCTACCATTTGAGTTTGTGAAATAGCAGCACAACGCAATCTATATATAATGCCCAGAATTTTTAGAACAAACATTCTGGGTACAGCTGGGCTAAAAATTTCTGATGGACAAATTTTCTGTCGGAAAATATTGATCTGACTAAATTGAAACACCGGGGATGTGTTGGGAATGTATTGATTTTGTCAAAAATTTTCAACAGGAAATTATCAACTTTTTATATTATTGTTTCAATTATAATTATATTTATTATATTATTAAAATGATAAAGTCAAAACAAAATGTTTTGATAAGGTTCAAACAAAATATTTTTGGAGCATTTTATTTCACAGAAAATTGCAAAATCTTGGAATATCCTGTGGGATGAAAATTCCAGGTTTTGACCAGCTCTTATTTGGGGGTAGATTCTGTGTTTGGTCTCTTGAAAGGTGCAGAACAGAAGGCCCAGGCCAAGAGGCGCAGACCCCCAAAGTGTCTTTAAGAATCTCCTTTCACTTATGGCGGCCTCCCCATAGTTCTTTATGGGTTAAGTGCTACAGCGATTCCCCCTCATACCAGTAACACACTGTCCTGACTCTGGAATGGCCCCTGTACCGGGGGCTGTGAGGATGATTACCACAGTAGCATACATTGGTCTTATGCAGCTGCTGTAGTGGAGGAATTCTACTCTGGCCAGTTATAGACCCCATATACTGTGGGAGTGGCATAATGGGGCCACAGTGGTGACCAGAGTCTGGCTAACTATATAGTTTATTATTTTGTATTGTGATAGCTCCTTCAGAGTCTATTAATCAGCATTGGGGTCCCACTGTTCTAGGCAGTATACAAACACATAGTAAGAGACAGTCCCTGCCCTGAAGAGTTTGCAATCTAATTGACAAGACAGAAAGACACACCAAGATTCAAATAAAATAGGAACTGTCAACACTACAAAACCTGAATGGAAATATTTCTCACAACTCACTCCTCTCCTCCCCCCCCAAATCTATGTAATGGGGACACACACACACACACACACACACACACACACACACACACACCCCGTTTTCCTTTTCCC